GTAAAACTGGAAATGTGAGATTCATTGAGAATGGTGAAACTAGTGGGAGTGTTAAACAATGTAAAGTGGATATTCAAGAAGTTAGGGTAAAGGTCCCTATGCCAATGACTTCTATTAAGGTTATGGTTCCTATAGTTGTTAGACATTCTGATAACAATCAAGAACAACAAATAATTGAGCAAATACTTCCTAATAATGTAGCAGTCAATGAACCTGTAATGGATGAGCCACATGAAGTAGTAAATGAACAATAAAAGGGGACAATAAGAAAATCTCAAAGACAAAGAAGATCTGCCATTACTAATGATTATGTGGTTTATCTTCAACAGTCAGAATTTGACTTGGGAATGGAAGCAAATCCATATTCGTTTTCACAAGCCCTTCAAAGTGATAATTCTGCAAAGTGGTTAGACGCCATGAAAGAAGAGCTAAAATCAATGGAATACAATGAAGTATGGGATCTAATAATATTGCTTGAAGGTTGTAGAAAAGTTGGGTGTAAATGGGTCTTTAAGACCAAGCGCGACTCTAATGGCAATATTGAACAGTAAAAGGCCAGACTTGTTGCCAAAGGTTTTACTCAAAAAGATGGTGTTGATTACAACGAGACTTTTTCGCTGGTTTCCTCAAAGGACTTGTTTAGAATTATTATGACAATGGTAGCCCATTATGATCTGGAGCTTTATCAAATGGATGTGAAACTGCCTTTCTAAATGCAAATTTAGAAGAAGTGTACATGGAACAACCTGATGGGTTTCTAATTGAAGGGAAGGAACACATGGTCTGTAAATTAAACAGATAAATATATGGACTGAAACAAGCTTCCAGGCAGTGGTACCTCAAGTTTCATAATATCATTACCACTTTCGGATTTAAGAAAAACACTGTTGATTGATGTATATATCTAAAGGTCAGTAGGAGCGCATTTGTAATGCTAGTCATGTATGTTGATGACATCTTGCTTACTATTAATAATCTTGGCATGATGTATGAAACCAAGAAGTTTCTCTCTAAGAACTTTGAGATGAAGGATATGGGTGAAGCATCCTATGGGATTGGAATTGAAATTATTCGTGATAGATCACAAGGATTGTTGGGATTGTCTTAGAAAGCTTATATCAACAAAGTTCTGGGGAGATACAACATGGATCAGTGCTATGTGAGTCCAGATCCAATTCATAAAGGTGATAAGTTGAGCCTAAAGCAATGCCCATAGATTGAATTAGAATGCCAGCAAATGGAGCATATTCCTTATGCATCTGTTGTCGGAAGTTTAATGTATGCTCACACATGTACCAGATCAGACATTAGTTTTGCGGTTGGCTTGCTGGGTAGATATTAGAGTAATCCTGAAATGGACCATTGGCGAGCTGCAAAGAAAGTGTTGAGATATTTACAAAGGACGAAAGATCATATGCTTACATATAGGAGATCCAATTATCTCAAGATAATTGGATATTCAGATTTAGATTTCGTTGGTTGTGTAGACACAAGGAAATCCACATTTGGGTATGTATTTCTGTTAGTAGGAGGAGCAGTTTTGTGGAAAAGTGCGAAGCAGTCTGTCATTGCTGCTTGCACTATGGAGGTTAAGTTTGTGGCATGCTTTGAGGCCACAGTTTAGGGATTATGGCTACAAAATTTTATTTTAGGGCTTGGGATTGTCGATAGTATTGCCAAGCTACTAAAAATTTTGTGATAAGGCCACAACAGTTTTCTTCTCTAAAAATGAAAAATATTCAAAGGGTGCTAAACGTAGGGAATTGAAATATTTTGTCGTTAAAGAAGAAGTTTGGAAATAGATAGTGACTATTGAGCATATTAGCACAAATTTTATAATAACGGATCCGCTGACTAAAGGGCTATCACCTAAGACCTATACTAAGCACATTGAGAGCATGGGTATTATTGCTTGTCATGACTAATTTATGATGTGTTTTCTGTGTTTCTTGATTTACATTATACTCCTCATGTTTCAGATACTCTGAGCTCTTGATGTGTTGTTTCTGATTCATATAAATTATTTTGTTATGTGTTTCTTTATATTATGTTGTTTGGTATACATGAATGATAAATATGACAAAATTTGTCCTTGATAATGACATTATTGTTAGACCATTAAGAATCATTATAGATTGTTCTGAGTATAGAATTTGTAACGTGATACATGGAAAATGATTGTGTTGATTCAATGACATATGACTGTCATGATCCTTATGGGTTCTTGCTCAATAATGTTTATATGCTGACCATTTTAAGATATGGCCTTTGGCTAATACATATTGTGTACACAATATGTAATATTTCTTAAATATAAACTAATTTAGTATTACATGGACCAAGTGGGAGAATGTTAGAAATATTTTACACTTTACATAAGTTGGTCCTTGTATTAAGGTTGTTTTTGAAATAATTAAATTGGCTAAGGGGCATGATGGTCATTTACCTTTGATGGAGAGGTTACTGCAGTTAATAAAGTAACTGTGGTTTGGGAGTTAATAAAATTGTTGTATATAAAGGGGTCCTCTCTCCGTTCCTATGTACGTTATTTTCTTTTTCCATCAAAAGGAATTGAAGGAAACAACTAACAGACAGTAAGGGAATAAAAGGGAGAGATACTGCTGTAGACGTAAAAATCTACCCATACAGAAAGAGGGTTTGATCCCGTGAGGTTGAGGCCACTAGTGATCTGCCGTACCTGCACACGTAAAGAAACAAACGTGAAGTGACGGAAAACACTAGGGTGGTATTTGCCGTAGGCACTCCGACGCTCAAGTCAGCGAGGCTGAAAGGCTGATTTAGTGAGGGCTAGGAAATAGAGAGGTTACCAGAAGTCTAGTCGGGGACTGTGACTACGGCTGTGATATGAAGTTCTCAAGCTAGAACTCCGGGGTCTGTAGGTGTAGTATAATCTGCCTTGTGAGAGGGCTGGCCTCTTTTTAAATAGTGACTGTCTGGTCTCCCAACCCTGGTGGGATTGGGAGTTCTCATAGTAATCTGTTCCCTTTCGGGATAAATCCTCTGGTCCCATTATCTTGGCGTGAAGAAGAGTCCAGGTATGACTCTCACGGACCTTGGAGGAGTTGAGGTTGTAGTGGGCTACCTTACCTGTGCTCGGATAGGAATGTGATCTGTGGGTGATCAACGGGCTCTGGATTCGTTCATAGATCCAAGAAGTGAACTAGGACTAGGAGGCTTGTGTCCGGCTGATTTGGGCCGACTGTACTTCGTATCAAATGGGCCTAATCCGGTGAGTTTTGGATTGGGTCGCATAGGGATTGGGCCTGGTATTTTCCTCATTGTTAGACCCGTTTTCCCATTTGGGCCATTGACGATTTTTAGCCCTAACAATTGCCTTCTTTCACAATTCCATAAAGAGATTACTCATGGATTCAGGTACGTATTACTCTTTTCTTAAACGGAGAAAATTCATCAAGTTTCAGATTTTGGGATTTATGTTTATGCAATTTTAGGGCATAGAAATATGATTATATTATTGATTTTTTGCCATTGATGAATTTGCTATTAAGTTTTACATTCCCATCTTAAGAAAGTTGTCTCCACATAATAATAATTATCTGTATATTGCAAAAAAAAATATGTTATGTTACATTAAAGGTTTAAAATGAAATAAAATACTTATCTTAACTTGTTTGGGACAATAATTAAATGTTTTATAGTTGTTATCACATCTTTTAACTTGTGAGTATATAATAACTTGCCAGCATAAACACCTTTCTTGTTGAAGCCAAAATATTTGTAACTTTTCAAGCATGTTTAAGGCTTTTTGGCATGAAACTTTTTATATTTCTGTACTATTATCATTTTGATTATTTTATTTCTCTTCTTATCTAATTGCAACAATAACTACTAAAACAATAAATTAAAATCCTAATACATACTAGTAAAACGTGCATTATAAAATAATAAATCAAAACAATAATTTTTATAACTAAACCTCTATTAAGTTATAATCTTATTATTATTATTATTATTATTATTATTATTATTATTATCATCATCATCATCATCATCATCATCATCATCATCATCATCATCATAAAAGAAGGTTATAACTATATAATTTTATTTTTATTTTTATGATTGAGGTATCCGGATCAGCTTGTGTGTACAAATAGAAAATAATGCCCATTGAACATCCTACAATTTGAATGTTTCAAAATAAGCTACAAATGTAATAAGTGATCCCAAGGTGGTTCAAACCCAAGAAGTCAATGAAAAGAGCAAAATTTCTTGACTGTCAGGCTAACTCCTTGGAGTTTACTAGACTTGTATATTGTTGACTATTAATTCACATGATTTTAAGTTTATTTTCACGTTTTAAACAAAATCTTAACATTTTAAAACATTATGAAAATTAGGATGACTGATACGGGTGTAGAGGGAATTTCGGGTAAATAGAAGTGTAAATCCACAAGGGAATGAGTTGCAACCGGCCGTGACTCTAGAACTAGATAAAAAAACAAAAAAAAAAAAAAAGATTTGTTTGGATTTGGGAACCAAAGAAGAAGAGATGCTGTTTGAGTTTTGAGTTTCATCCAAACAACCTCCAACTCTAATCAAAAGTTTATAATTTCATCCCCCAAATGTCCCTTTGAAACCCACCCCTTCTCGCTTTCTGATTGGATGGGAACACTCGCCACCTCCTCTTTCACTCTCCATTCACTCACACTTCACCTCTTCAACCTCAAAAACTCCTTTTCTTCTTCTTCTTCCTCTTCTTCTTCATCTCCGACCAGACGTCTTTCTTAGAAGATGATACAACACTAAAGGAGTTTAGACCACTTCCAAGCAACTTTGAAGAAGTGATGAGAAAGCAGACAGTGCAGCAGGAAACAAATGCCCCCAACGCTAAAGGAGCATCAAGGGTGCTCTTAAACAGAGTACAAAGACAGAAACTGTAAGATAATAGAACACCTTAATTACAAATCTGCAGCAACAGATGGTGTTTGTCAAATGGGTGGGTGATATTATAGAAAAAAGAAAGGCCACTACAACTTTCCAAATCCTTCAAAATAAAGAAAAAACAGAGTCGTTGAATGTCAACTCAAATTATTATTCTCAAGCTTGGAAGAGTACATATAAGCAGAATAAGAGGCAGAGAATCTACTAATTCATCATAACAACCAACGTGAATACAGTTTCAAACCTGGAAAATAAAAGGGCTTGCAATGATGCGGATTGCCCATTTAACAAATTGAGCTACACCAACATCAACAGTTCCATCTTTTGAAATCACAAATTTCCTTACGATCCAGTACCCTAAAGCAGCTCCTGTAAGTACAATTCCAACTAGTAGGAATATAGAGACCTGTAAGAAAAAAGGTACAGTAGTTAAATAATAGGTTCACTTGCAAGGAGCAAAGAAAACATAAAAAGGAGACAACTTTGGCAAGCACATGAAAGTGAGAACGCAGTTGCACGCAGAAAAATACAAAAAGGAATTCCCAAACTTTCCAACGGAGTGTCTTTTACTAAAATTGTCCCAAACATTTCTCAAAGAAAGGAAAATGACTCCCATAGTTTGAAATTTCAGTTTCTTAAATAATACTAATAAAAAAACCTAGTTTGATAGTCAGACTTTTAGTAAATGAAGATGCATATTAAAAATTAAACTAAATGTGCCTCTCAGATAAAAGATAACGGTAGAAAAATGCTACTCAAAGAGGCCTAAATCATCCATAATGCGACTTACTTCAAACGTCTTGACTGGAAAATGAAACCATATTGCGTGATTTGTTTGCCTTTAGTTTGTTCTATATGCCTTCTACATTTCTCCCTTCTTATCTGTGAAAAAATTGTCTAAAGTTACAAAAGCTCATTGCAGGAAACAAATTTCCATCAAATGATTCCTGAAGTGAAAACCCTATTGCAGATGACTTATGAGAAAATGCGAGTTGATTGAGATATAAAGTAATATGTATTTAAGCATCACCACCAAACAACACTCGAAACCAAAAAAAAAAAAAAAAAAAAAACCTAATCAGAGCATGTAAAGAAGTTGAACAACGGTTACACATAGGTAATGGCTAAAAAATAACAACTTACCGGATTGTGCATCTCCTCACTTAGTCCAAAATTGACAAGAATCGAATTCACCAGCACTGAGAATTGATGTAAAAGAAAAGATCCAGCACCAAGCTGAAAGCGAAATTAATAGTGACATTCATGTGCATTAAAAATTTAATTAAACAGAAAGGTTGAAGAATGAGCACTCACCACTGATCCACATATAGTAAGATACAAGACATTCTTCCTTCCAGTCAGCAACAGTTTCATTCCCTACATCACAAGACATAATTAAGAAAGAAAATAGAATTGAGAACAAGCTAAGAGGAAGGATACATCTTACATATAACAGGAAGTAGGGAATACATGTAATCTAAATAGATGGATTGTGAATAAGTAAAGCAATGCAAAAAAGTTTTCTGAAGCTAGAGTGGGGAAGCAAAGAGGAATTGGCTTCCATTATTTGCAACTCTTAACTTCATTTCCAACCATGCATACTTCCCTTCCAGTAACTCTTCCTATAGATCAGTCTGGCATAAAAGATATAACAAGGAGTAAACTAAAGCGACAGCATAAAAGACTCTGACTACCTGAAAGAGAAGGATTGTAATGAGAAGAAAAACTCCTATAGCCATTAAACTGCTATAGTAAAAAGGAACCCAGTTGCTGACAATTGGTGCTAACAGCAGCAGAATAAATCCAGCCGCTAGAAAAAGGAGACGCCATCTCTGAAAATCTGCACAAACAGCAAAGATGTGTTACCACCATTAAAGAAAACATGTTTGCGACATGGTAGGAAATTAAATGAGTAATAAGAGGAAGAAGAGAGAATGCCGCACTTTCTTCAACCGCAACTGAAACAGAACATGAGACTCTACCAACAAACTTCACATCAATGTATCTCTCCTCATATGGAGACATGACAGAGCTCCAAACTTCCCCCTTCTGAATAGCTTTCCACTCATCCTTTTCACACTGACATAATGCAAGGGAAGCATTCCTGCATACACTTTATCAGTCAAATATAGCCTTCCACGACCTTCACTGAATTTGGATGTTTTCTATCTTGTTTCCAAGAAAAGTACAATATGTCACTTACCGGTGAAAGCAAACCTGCATTTTACTAGGTAATCTCTCAGGGATTGTCACAGAAGGTGCCAAAGTGACCCGAAAGGAATTAGCATAACTCCCAAGTTTCAACCTTGAGTATCCGGAAACCTGAACTCTTTCGCATGATATAACATCTTTGGACCCAGGAACACCGGCAAGGGGATATGGGGTGACATCTACTGCAGGATTCTCTATGTCAACACCTGTAAAATCATAAATGCCAACAATATTTCCAAATACATAAACAGAACACACCCAAAAAATGCCAACCAAACAGCGAGAAAGATAGAGAACCTCAGGAACAAGAGAAAATAAACGGAAGAAAAAGAGAGGAGGAGGCGTACCTTTGAACGGGGTCACACGGTATGCACATGATAAATGAAGAATCATAGACAAAGTGAAACAAAGAGAGGAAGAGAAACCAGGCGCGACCATGAGTTTTCTCTCTCTGTCTCCGTGAATGTGTTCGTGAAGAGAATGAACCCACGAAGACAGGCGTGAGAATGATACCTGGTAATGGAAATAAATATGAATGAAATGAAGTGAGGCCCGTTCTCCCTCGCTTCCTTACTATTAGAATGTAGTGTGGTGTGTATTTCGCGCGTTGCGTTGAGGCTAAGCAATTCAGGCGCAAGGTTCTAATATTTACCCACACTAGGGCTATTAGTATCCTATCATACAATTTGATATGGTGGTCAATAATATGTATTAGAGAATATATCTTAAACATTTTGATATGTTGATATGCATTCTACGATACGATATATATCAATTTATATCCTTAAAAATATCGATACAAATCGATATGACTTTATTAATTTGGGCCGAAAGCCCCCCCCAAAAAAAAAAAATTGAGTCAGGTTGAAATAGATCTAGTCGGATACGGGCCACCCCAGTCAATTCACTAAAACCCGTCCAAATTTACCCTTCCCTAATTTTTACCCTAGCTAGATTCACTTCTGGTCAAAGAGCAAATGCGTCTCTTGGTCCCCACTCCTCAGCAATTAAACCAATTAAGCTGGACATAACCAGAGTTCTGGACGAATTGATTCAAGTAAATTAAGCCACTCTTTTTCTCTTTTCATTACAAATTTAATCCCCTTTTTGTTAAAGACTTTACATGTGCATTTGGATTATATAATGTTTTATTATCTTAATAATAAGATTACCAGAAAGATAGATTACATTGTAGATTATTGGGTTTAAATTATTATTGTGTTTGGTTCAATTGGGATGTATTAATAATTAATATGCTTGGTTAATAATAATAACAGATATCCTAAATACCCTTTTATTAGAATGTCCTTTGGATGCTTACTTGTATTACTAATTAATATGTTAGTTTGGTTGTAATAATAGGTGTCTTGATTACATTTTACAAAAATAAGAAGTTAGTGTATATTTCTTGCCTAAACATTCAACACCTCACCCTAAACCGAATCTAAACCTTTTTCTTTCCTATACCCTAAACCAGGAACACTAAACAAATTTTTTTAACGTAACTCTGTTATGGAAACAAATATAGTTCCCATCAACTAATTTAAAACTATGATTTGTCTACTGCCCCAAATTATAGTTCCTACAGTATGTTTATCTCTACTTCAGTCCAATTGAAGCCCTTTTTTTGTTCAAGAAAAAAGAAAATTTGTGTCTTTTTTTGTTTACACCATTGTTGAAATTCAGATGCAAGTTTCCATATTCGAGGAATTTTGTTGTCTTTGTTATGTTCTGCTGAACCCAAAGTATGGGTGACAATTGTTGGTAAAATTGTAAGATCACCTATTATCGAGTACCTATGCATTTATATTATGCTGAATCCAGGCAATGTACCAATAAATAAAGTACAAGTAGAATAATACTGCTCTTTAAATTTATGAACCAATAATAATACATAATTTCACACATTCTAAAGTGAACTCAATCTCCACAATTTTTAAAGTGAACTCAATCTGACATCCGCCAATACAAAGTACGCAATACTTAATACACAATACTCATACATAAATTAATCAAATGTAGCTTAAGCTACTCAACTCCACACAATAGTTTGTCACGAAAGGCTGTAAATTCTCTAATGCTAAACGAATCTTGCATCATCTGTTGAGAATAAAAATTAACAACAACAATAACCTAGTTATTTTAATTGAAGAGACAAGACACTTTTTTTCAGGACCCTTTATCTACGACCCAATAAACAATTGACCCCCCATCAATTAAAGGATTGCAGTACTTACAAAGTAAGGATACCCGTCATGAATTGAAAAATCTTTTGGGGCAGCTTCCACAGACTTGGTTATGTAATAAAGTAAGAAATATCTGCAACCCATGTCATTCCGTTGTTGAGGGACTTGGTGAATGCATTTTTTTGTCAAAACAAATACATGAAATACTAAACATATCAATCATTATTTACCATCAACCAACACAATAGATTGTTTTATCACCTTAGGCACTAGCAAAGGTATTTTATCAACCAATGCTGAATGCTTAGGCATTGTTCCCAATTCATAAATATCCCTCACAAACTTGCAAAGAATTAAAATTCAACAATTTCAAATCCATTCTAGTTCCACATCCCCAACAACACAGTTTCATCATGTTCTCAAATGTGCATGCAAATTATTATGAAAGTTTACCATTGAATCAGAGGTTGCAGCCTCATTCCGTTATTCGATTCAAGCGAATCAAGCAACATCATGCATCAAGTTTTAATTTCTAAGTTCACATCTCCATCAAAGTTGCACAAAATCAGTAAACTACAATGATCCCTATTAACATTATTGACTCATATTATCAACTTCAAGTCTTAATCATAACATATCAACCCATGTCCGAGTTTGGTAAGTAAAAATCAAATGCATACAGACACAAAATCTTCACTTACTAGAGGACTATAGGAATACAAACATATTTTCTTGAGAATATGTCCTGTTTCCCAATCCATTTTAGCACCTTCCCTTTGTAAATTTCTTTTGTGTAAATAAAAAACCACATGGAGTCCAACCATGTGAAATTTCATAAGTTGTCTCCTTTAAAACTCTTCCACAATTTATTGCAGAACACAAATATGGTAGTCAGACATCTAAGGTAAACAAATTATGTAAATATGGCCTGAAACATTTGAATTGTGCAATAGTTTCGCACCCCATGTGGAAGTCAAACATACTGCTGCTCAACCAAACAAACCCCCCCCCCCCCCCCCCCCCCCCTCTCCTTCTTCTATTTGCCAATCGCCTACTTGACATTCGTTGATTTGTGGCATTTACATATGACCATCATTCATTTACATTAGCAAAAAATTATAATCATCTTTCATAACAGAGTTCATTGGTAAATTTAGGAGTTGCAATAAAACCTTTGCATTTGCTGCCTTTTAAGGCTGAAAGGCTCTCCTGACATTCTTCATCTACTGAATGACTAGTCCTACCTTTATCTTGACATCAATCAATTATGAGCTATTCGTACAAACTGTCTGGCTCTCTTAACATTGTTCGTAAACTTATGCACTTTCGATCATCACTGTCAGGTAACGTCATGGTCCTTCCATCTTTCCTGCAAATCAACCCACAAAACAAAGCACATCAAAGAGGCAAAGAAAACAAATATTAGAGAACTGACACTTTATAAATTCTAGTATACCTTTATCGTTCTTTCGTGGTGAACTAAATGTCAATTTGCAAAAGTAAATCAAAATACATACTTTACCATACTAAGGCAACACAAATTAGGTACATAGACATCCACACATCATTTAATACATTATTACCAAAGTTGAGAGTTTTTTTACATTCCATATTAGTGATCACTACCTTCCCGTACTAACTGCAAACATAGGGCATTACCATGTAATTACTAAACAGCCATGGTTTTGACAAAAAAATAACAAAAGTCACCACGTTGTATGCAATTAGAATATAGGCAAAATACAAATACGGGACCACAACCTCTAAGTCATCTTACTAATAATGTATTGCCCATTTTGGGTGATGAAGATGGAGAAAGTGAAGAGGAAGATGCGTTGCCCATTTTGCATGATAATAATAACAATAGTGGAGATATAGATATTGACATTGATCTTTGGAATGATATGAATGGTTGAGAGGAAATGATATAGATTCTTAATTTTGTGATTAATTTTGATTATATAATACCATAATTTAAAGCCAATAATATCAAAAAATTTGTTAATTAATCTTGGGGATGATATTAATTCTTAGAAAATTTTTATTATTTATTTTTTTTTTTTTTGAAAAAGGCGTATGATGCATGATTCAAAAAATTAGGTTTTCAATACACGATTTGACAACCATGACCCATACTGTTCATACACATAAATTAATTAATTTGAAATTTAAATAATAATATCGTATATCAAATAGTAAAAGAATTATATATATAATTTTTTTATAGTTTTTGTCAGAAAAGAGAGGGCAAGAGACGCAGTTTGAAGAAAGTTGGAGTATGCCTGAAAGATATATTTGAGAGGGCAAGAGAGACAACAGAAACGTCTGAGTATGCCCGAGAGATATCTTTATATGAATTAATTTGTATTGTATTGAATTAGTTTGAATTGTGATTACATCACCTATTTATACAAAAGTTTAGTTATACAATAAGGAAACAAAATAATGTAATTACACTCATTCAAAAGAATTGATTGATTGAGTGATTGGCGTAATCTTAGTGATTAGCCATAATCATGACATTCATATTTCATCACTCCCTCCCAAGCTTATATTTTATATAAGTCATAAACTCTAAGCTTGCATAGTGGATGTGAATATTGTCCGCCCTTAGATATGAGATAAGTAGTACCGAAAGAGGGAGCTAGAATGGTTGGATAGACATAATCAGTTGTCCAAATGAGAGGTTGAGTGAGACGAGAGGATCATCGTTGAGGGACTAACTCCAAGGAAGGAACAAAAAGAGTCATTGGGGAAGATGTTGGTGAAGAGTTGCCAGAAGGAGAGTTGATAGGAAGATTCTAGTTGTTGGTGGAAGTGTTTGTCTGCAAGTTAGACCGTCCATAACCTGCAGGAAAATCCTGAACAGTAGAGACTCTTTGTCTCTTATACTTGGGTAAACCATGTGGAGAAGGACAATGACCACTGTCCATTGGAAATATTCCCAAGTGCCTATGTGTTTTGCAGGTGAAGACAAAACTAAAGGCTTGAATGGACTAATTAGCGGAAGCTCAGTTATGCACCAAAATAGTAGTGAGTGATGAAAATGATTCAATATGGACCAAGAAAATTCCCAAGAAAATGGAGGGGTCACAAATGGTCCCATTTAAAACCCAGCCTCCTTAGACATTTATCGTCTTGTTGACAGAGTTTTCCTACACATGCATATAACCATATAAACAGCTAGTCACTATCCTAAACCTACAGATGCGAAATTATGATTAATCTAACCAAGTATCTGTTTGAATTGCAGGGATAAAAAGAGAAGCTAGGTGAGAATTGTGCTAACCGAATATCTGTTTGAATTGCAGGGACAAAAAGAGAGGCTAGATGAGAATT